AGAAAAAGCAGCTTTTTTCTTTCCTTACAGAAAAAGAAAAAATGGGAAACCCCCCCAAAACCCCCAAGAGAGTGGTCACTTTGCACTGATATTCAGTGCAAATGGTCATGGGGGTTTCCTCATCACATGCACTTACATTTTCCAAGGAGATTAATGATTGCCATGCTGAACAGGCCGGATTATGTTTTCTGTCCTAAGCAGGGAGCGTGATTACACTCTGATCTGGAAAAATACATACACCAGCATATTTCTGCTTGGTTTAACGATCTTGAGTTGCTTCTGGGATTTGTGGCATCGTGTTTGTTAAATGGCTTAGTGGGGGGAAAAAAGCACAAAAGAAGCTCTAAAAATTATTGTGAGAAACCTTGTGAAAACAAAGAATATTTCCTCAAATGGACTGGAAAAGAGGAGACAGCCAATAGGGCACATCAGTCATTTTCCAAACGGGAATGAGCTTCTGTCTTTGTGGTGACAAGAGAGATTTTTCTTAATTCCATCTTAATAAAACCCAAACTATGACATTGGCCCATGTAATTTTCAGAGGACAAAGGAGGGAGGAAATAGGGGGGAGAAAGGAATATATTCTTAGTGTTATAAGCATCTTTCTTATCACTGTGGCTGCATAAGGGCCAGATGCTGTTTATTTCAAAGCAAGACAAAAGACAAAGAGAAGAGCAGCTGTGCAGAGACGGCAAGTGCCGCAGCGCCGGGTCCAGGCACCATCCTCCAGCCGTTACTCAGCACACCAAATGAACCTTCCCCTGCTGCTCCCGCCGCGGCCTGCTGAGCTGATCGTGTGGGTTTATGTGGCTGTTTATGGCGTGTGAGTACAAAGAGCAGCGAAGGGGCTTGGCAGCAGTAGTGCCCAATGGACAGCAAAACCAACCTGTTGCCACTGCGCTGCCAGTCCATGGAGAGAGCGTTATTGCTTCTGGAGCTCATCGGACAGAGACCTGGGCTGTGTCCGTGAGGATTTTTGTGCCCTAAGGATGCAATTTCACTGTCCTGTTAGTATGAGACAATTAGGATGAAATGAACTTAAAACCTGTGTCTTACTCTCCCTTGCCTGCTATTGAGAGTCTCTGTCATAGCCTGGGTGGGCTGCGCGACATCTACCAGCAGAAGAGAGTAACAGTCCTGGGCTGACAGGGCAGGATGAGAGCTCTCCGGGTGCTGGCACAGACCGTATCACCCTGGGTTCTGCTCCCACATCAGGCTCCAGCCCAACTCTGTTTCCCATGGCCAGATCCCTACCGCTACTTGACACAGCGTTCTCCTCCTTTACACGTCTGTGGGGAGGCAGAGGGCCCTGTCCCCACCAGTTCCCAGAGGTCTGGACATGCCTCACCCTGCAGCTAAGGCAGGAAAGATGTGCTTGGTGTGGGAGCCACACCTGGTGGTTCCCTTCATGCTCCTTTTTGCAATCGAAATGTGTTTTAACAGAGGCAACCAGTGACTGACCCTTTATTCTTCTTTGGAACACCAGTCGTGGCTGCAGAGGCTGTGTGGTGGGGTCTGTAACCCAGAGGTCTGGGCACCTCTGGGCTGATGCAGCCTCAAAACCTGACCCTTTCCTGCCCCATTGAAGTGGAATGAGGATGTTTTCACTTAAATTACCAGTAGCATTACTGGAATGTTGAAAGAAGACCAGAGACTTGTCTTGAGCCACACAAAAGGCAGTATTTCACCTAACATCATCCCTCACGTGTCTTGCATTTTAGGTGGTGACTCTGTCTTTGCTGATGTACCCAGTGCTGAGGAGTCTCACTCTTCAGCTGCACTCTGCCATCACTGGCAGCTACATCTCTGGGACTCACTCCATTGCCTTCATCAATTGCCTGAACGAGCAGATTGCCAGGGATATTGCAAGGTACAGAGATACTTCCCTTGATGTCTGCTTGAATTGTTTGAAATGGAAAAACAAGCTTTATTCTTGTGGAATAAAGCTTTTCCTTGTCTCTCGGGAGCATCTCCACTTCCCTGTACTTTATACTTCTACCCAAATGGTGTTCCTTTTCTCCTGCACTCTCTTTTTCTCTCTGTACCACATATCCATTTACCAAGAGCTGTGCTTTCTAAAAGCAAGCTGGCAATTGCCTCTGAAGTCAGTGCTGCAGTAACATCAAGCCAATTCTCAATTTATACCACTGCCTTTCATTTTAAAGCCATGGCCCTAAATCTCTGAGTCCTCAGATGGATTATAAGCCCCAGTTCCATGTTCTCTGATCTAACACAGTCTTCCTTCTTCTCTAGAACAGCACAGATAACAAATGGCAGGAGAGGTGCTTACGGAGAGGGATAAAGCACAGCACACTGCCATGAAAATAAGTGTAAGAAAGACGGAAGTGGTCCACAGCACACAGAGAACAGGCACTTCTGAGGTACCACCTGGAAGCCTGCACTCTGCTCACCAAACTTCAGGGAATAAGGCCTTTGCCTTGATTTCCCACCCCCCTTTTAACATGGGAGGTACTTTGCATGCTGCTTTGCATACAGGTTGTTTTCCACACATCTGTCAGTCCCTGACTCAATAGGTGGTTTGTTCAGAGTACTGAAACCGTGTTGACTGAGGCAATGTTTATGATGGACCATTAAGTTTCCTGCAACACCTCTGTGCTGTTTTCCCTGCTACCCTGCTGCTTGCCAAAACCCCTCTGTCTTCCGTAAAGCATTCCCAAAAAGTCATTCAGGAACTGACAGGCTACTGAAAGGGATTTTGTGTCACCTTAAATACTGCAACTGTCTGAAGAAATTCCAATAGAATAATGTCTGCACTGCTTGATGTCTTCTGAAAACAGGGGTAACTGTACATGGCTGGTGAAAAGAGCTTCAGTTCCTCACAATGCTTCATCCGAACACCTTTGCAAATGTTTTCCACTCTTTGTTCCTTATCTTGCAGGGAAGGGAGGGGAAATAAATCACTCCCCATTGCTGAGTTACATGTACTTTAGTTGTGTTTTTACTGGTGGAGTAATTATTCCTTTGTTCTGGAGTCTGGATGAATGAGCCATGGTTGTAGAGGATGACACAGGGCTTCTACACCCATTTTCCTACACACCTTTTTCCTGTGCTGTTGTTTATTCTTCCTTTACATTGCTCAGTGGAGCACTCACTCTGATAGACCAGGCTGCAAGGAAATTTCCACTGGTTTTAAGGAAAAACAGTGTTCGGGAAAGCAGATTAACTGCAGGTAGAACTCAGTACCCGGCTTGTTTGTTGTGTCGGTTCTGACCCAGTTTGTCTGGATTACTGTTAACTTTAAATCCTCAGAAGAAACCCCCGAGCCCACACAGATCTATCCTCTCCCCTGTGCCTGCTGTGAGAAGCTGACCCCTTTGGGCTGGATGGTGTGGCCACTACACCCCACATAAGTTACTTAACAGCCGAGCAGCCTCTGGTTCTGCCTTAGACTTGTGCATATCATTTTCCTTGCATTTCTGCTTATTAATATTTCATCTGTCTCCATTCAGACCCTGCTGTGAGGCAGGGACACACATTAAGTGCCCAACCCAAAGATATCATGTATTATGCAGACGTTTCCCACAGATCACGTTCAGCTTTTTATAATGTTTCCCTTTCCCATGGTGGCCGCTTGTTTCCTCTGGGTTTGCTAGAACAAAGTTCAGGATCTCAGTCAGGATCGCAGCTTCTTGGAACAGAGCAGAAGCAATTAGAAGCTACTCACCCAAATCAAAAGGCTCCTGCACTAAAGTGACTTGGAGGATGCAGGCAGCAGAAACAAAAGGATTTGTGCCATGTGCTTGACATGACAAACGCAGCGGGGGATATCTCCACTCATGCTGCTGCAGTTTGTTGGTCTACAGATTAACTCAAGATGCTCTACAAGCATTAAATGCCTACAACTGGCTGCACATGGTGAGAGCGAACAACCCAGAGCCTCCCCGATGGCTGTCCTCTCTGAGCCATGGGCAGAGAGAAGCCCGTCTCTGTCACCTCCCGGCACTTAGACGTTAAACCCAATTCCAGCAGTTAGCTGGGTCCAGGCACTGGTTCTCCAGTGCAGTGCTGGGGTCCAAGGTGTTGCAGGATCACCAGGAAGGGCTGCTTTCCTCCCAGTGCTCTGCCAGCTCCCAAATCCTCCCTGACCTGCAGCAGAGCCTGTGCAGCCCCTTGAGGGCACCTTTGCCTTGTGCTCACAGTTGCAAGGTACCAACCTTCACAGAGAAAGCAGGGCTGGTAATGGAGACAAATGCAAAGGAGCTCACATTCAGAGGAGAGCCCAGCTCTCCCTGGGGGTCAGTGGCTGACTGCAGGCAGTGGTGCAGTGGGGAAGCTCCTTCTGCTTCTCTTCAAGAGTTAATTTTGCAGGTTGTTGAATCAAGCCTTCCAGTACCTAATTACTCCAGTCTTCCCTGCAGTTCAAAGTCAACCAGAAGTTAAATGTTTGCACTGTATAGCACATGGTACAAAGTAGTGCCCACTGAGGCCTGTGTTAAGGAAAACCAAAGGAGAAGGCACTAGTGTCATGCCTTTAACAGAGCTGCCTGCAAGAGGGACGGGGCTGCCATCGTTGTGAGAAGGGCCCAGACATTGCTGTGGTCAGAAAACACAACATTTGACCTAGTTCTTCTCAAAATCCACCCTGAGATTGCTGCAGTACTCTTTAATCACTTAAATATCAGTTCTGCCGGTAGACCCAAGCAGCTCTGCAATAACACATCAGCCCACAGCTAAAAGAAGCAGCCAGAGGGAAGGAATTTAATTTGGGCTTCAGATTTCTAGGACATTTTGGGTACAAAAACCTTGATGTTGTTAATTTAACAAGCTCCACATTTAATCTGTTATGTGAGGAAGAGGCACAGTTTGACAGCATAAATACATGTCTGGGAGACAAACCCCTTCGTATCCATCCCAGACGTGGTTCTTCTGGCCATGCCCTGCTGTCCCCACGGGGAGATGTGCACTGGGCTGATGCCAGGCAGGGTCCTCGCACTGTGTGAGGCACAGGTCCCATGTGCTGCTCCAGGCCAGGAGCATCACCCAACCCTCTTGCTCAGCAGGGAGTGCCCCAGAACCACACCAGGAGGACCTGAGCTGAAGCAGCTCCAGCTATAGGTCACCTTTTCATCTGCTTTCTTAGGGTAATAATTAACCCCAAATCCCAGATCTCCAGTGCCAAAGCTGCTGCTGGCAGCCAGGGGCAGCACAAGGGGATGTCCCTGTGCCTGGGAGTGGGTGCTGAGCCACAGCAAGCTGGGGCAGGCACTCACTCCCCTTCCTGTCTCACCCAGGGCCATCATGGATAAGAAGCTGGCTGCCTACGTGAACATCCTCCCGAAGAGCTCGGCCTTGTAAGTTGGGCTCATGTTCCCCAAGGGAGGAGGCAAATCCAGGCTCCCCAGGGGGAGGAGATGGACACCCCCAGCCCCGGGGAGAGGAGGCACTTCCCAGAAGGCTGATGGGGCTGTTGGTTGTTGCCGATGGTAAAGATGATCCTCACCCATGCAAAGTGCTCTCAGCTTATTAAGGAGTGCAGATGCTCCAGCTGCCCATGGGGACCACTTATTTATTGCTTACTTGGCTACACAGAGATCTAGCAAAGAACAAGGTGATTTACGGGCCGGAGGATGTGGCGCCTATTTTTAGAGGATCTAAAAAGCAGTTAAGACAGGGAGCAGAAAACTGGCCTTTACAACATTAAGCAGCACTTTCAGGAAGGAAAAACAGTGTCTTCGACCTTGAAATACAACCAGCCATGCTCTGCAGGTATCCTCGGCCATCCATGCAAAGGGATTGCAGTTGTTGGAGGGGTTAAAGAACAAAGCCCTAAAACAGCCTTTTGCTCCTAGGAGCACCCTGGCCTAGCCCTGCTAGAAGAGGGGAGCAGGTCCCCAAACTGCAGCCTCCCCACAGGAGGGGTTCCTCACAGTGCACCCCCAGGCTCTCCCATAGCCCAGCTGAGGCAGCTGAAATGGGGGGAACCCAGTAAAAACCTTCTTCCCCTTGTGCCACAGCGGCCAGAGCCGAGCTGCTCCCGCACGGCGCTGCCTGTTCAGCTGCTTTCCCCTCCGAGCCCCGCGCAGGAGACATCACGACGCCTCCGATTGCCTCCTCGCACAGAACCCAGTGCGCAGATGGAATCACAGAGGCCGTCTGTCAACATAAATGTTCTGAGAGGTCATGTCTGACTCAGGAGAAGTGCATCTCCTCTCCTGCAGAGAGCGAGGAGAAAAGCAAGATGCTGCTGTACTCAGCTTCTCAGCTGCAGCCCTGACACAGTCCCTGCGGGCACTGTCCTCAGGCTCGGAGCGGGACCACCACCACACAGACCCCCGTGGCCTCCCCAGTCCCAGCTCCTGTGCCCTGCTGTCCCCCCATGCAGCTCTCTAGACACTGGCACAGCCAAGAAGGCTCTAGTCTGTAAATCCCACATGCTGTCGCGTGCACGGCAGCAGTTTGGGGCCAGTGATGCTTCTTGAGCACCACTCTGTAAAGGAACGGCCATGTGCAGAAAGCACCAAGCAGGGAAGTTAACCTCCTCCCTGGGGTACTGGCATGGCTGCAGCCAGAGCTGCGTTTGCTGATGCTTCTGTTCTTTTAAATCTAGGTATTTCTGGGAAGGGGAAGTGGAAGAATCCACTGAAATACTGCTGGTAAGTGACAATTCCCGCATCGCAAAATCTCCATCCCACACAGCCCCGGCCTTAAGGGGTGGGTTTGGGACCTGCACAAGATCTGGGACAGCACCCATGGGCCCCAAGCACCTGCCTGAGGGCGTGAGAGTGGTGGCTGGGGCTGGCAGTCTGGCTCAGCCCCTCACTTTGCCACCAACAGGGGACATCCCCCTGGTAAGAGCCCAGGAAGGGCTCCTTTCACACCGCCAGCCATGCCGGATGGGAGCAGTGGGACTGTGCATGCAGGAGTGCTCCATCCCCTTCACTTCTCCCTTGGGTTTTGTTTCATTTTGGGTTTTTTTACTCTCCACAGTTAGTCAAAACAAGGACATCAAAAATAGGCGAATTGTCCAACTATGTCAGGTGAGGCTCTGGCTCCGCGGGAGCACTGGGTTCCAATCCAAGGTAGGCTGCCGTGTCCCGCTCAGGCTTTGGGAGTCAGGTCCCTTGAGCCCTTTCTCACCTAGTACGGGTAGGGTTAAGTGGTCCTGATGTACCTTGTGAGCCAGAAAACCCAGGGATGGCAGAAAAGTTTGGTGGGAATATCAGCCCCTCCATACCGGGTACAGGGAGGGATTCTCCTTGTCCCAACACAGGTCCTTCCCTGGCTGCCTCCAGGCAGGATTTCCTGTGTTTCCCAAGCACTGGGTGGTGAGCACAGCCAGCTTTGGGCCAGGGCCCCTGGCAGTCAGCTGCTGGCTGTGGTAAACCCCAGACTCAAAGCAACATTCTCACGTGGCAAAAAGAAGATGCGGGTGCTTTGAAGGCAGCGCACGGCTGGGAGCAGAGGCTTCTGCTTCCTGCGCCTGCAAGCTGGTGACACTGCTCCTCTGCATCTGTTTCCACTTTAGATCCATCCATCCCTTTGAAATTCCTGAAACCATCAGCCTGCCTATTGACCAAGGAAACCCTCTCTACCTCAAATGGCTGGAGGAAAGTGTCCCACGGGACTAACTAACTGAGAAGTGCAGAAAGCACCAGGTAAAATGTGCTGAGCCCCGCTGGTCTCCCTGTGCAGGCTGGCACAAGGAAGCAGCTGATATCTTCACAGGTTTGCTCTACACAGAAACTTAGGATTGGGAAATTCATTTGCACTCAAAACATCCCCTCCTTGGCCTGACCCTGTGTTCCAGGATGCACCGAGCAGCCCAGAGGCAGCAGGATGTGGCTGGGCGCCCCACGATGTGCCAGCCCACACCCTCTCCTGTTGTCATGCAACGTGCTGGTTCAAGTCCTACAGAATCCAAGGAAACAGCAAACTTGAGCAGATGCTGCAAGGATTTGCCAGGAGCTGCAAGCAGCACACACTGACCCTACCTGCTGAGCTGGGCTGAGCTAAGCAACATCCACGGCCAGTTCAGGGACACAAAGTGCAGCAGGACCAGGGCATCACCCAGCCCTTCATCCCCTACCCACACCTCAACAGTGGCTTTCTACCCAGGCCACGTTGAACCTTGCAAAAAGATGCTCACATTAATAATTTAATGGGATGTATCTTATGGAACAGTATCAAGTTATTTATGTGAGTGGGAAGGGAATAAACAGGAGTGTTTCTTACCTGGGCAGGCTCAGTGTTGTCAGAGTTTGCTGCTACAGTGAGCTGGGCAGGAGGAAGGGCTCATCATGGGTTTGCGGTGACTCTCCTTGGCCCGATGCTGACTGATGCTCCACTGGCTCCCACATGACTACTTTGGGCTTGTAAAGAAGTGGTACAGAGCATTTTGCAGGCATTCAGGCGGGCTCGTGTGGTCCCATCAGCTGTCAGAGGAAATGCGGGGAAAGCTTGGAAGTGCAGGGAAGAAAAGACAAGAAAATGGTCTGAGCTCTGACAGCAGGAAACTTTGCAGTGCTAGATCCAAAGAAACCGCCCACAGTCTCCCCTTTGCATCCTTCTGCAGTTCTTGTGCTTCACAGCAGCAGCTCTCCAGCTGAGGGCACATCTCACCCTGGCGTGGAGCATGGCTCAGCAGCAGCAGCTACAGCATGGCAGGCACCGGGCATCTGCCTGGGAGCACACACTGACCCCCAGTGCCCAAACTCAATAATCCCGACACTCCAAAAAACCAGTGATGTTAAAAAACCCCAACTTTTTAATTGTACATCAGACATATTAATTACAACTTGGGTATAACAAGGGTTGGTTATTACAAGCAGCAACCTGAACTCATAAATCTTTAGAAGGTGCACAGAGTCATTATAATTATCTATTACAGCTAATACAAAATACTCTGCAACAGAAATAGTTTTAAAGGCTCCACATTCAATTCTCTGCAAGAGGCCAGGAGGAGGAAAGGGAACAGAGAGAGAGAGGAGAAGAACCAAGGCCACGTGTTGGGTGCTCCCAGCCATGCAATGTCCATTGGCCATCCCATGGGAATAACCCCCCTCCACGACCCTGGCACAGCTCTTGGCAGCCCCTGGACTCCCAGGCACCAACTTGGACAGTGACAAGGGGTTCACAGGCACTCGTGAAAGGGGAATACTTTAAGTGACCCTTTGGTGACAAAGCCAAGGCAGGACGGGCAGTGACCGGGCTGGCTGCAGGAGCTGCACCTCTCCCTGACAGGGATGGGGGGGTCCCATCTCCCAAAATGATTACATGTTCCATCCCCATGGGACAGCCACAGTGGCGGGGTGGGGGGAGAGACGAAGAGGACATTGTTAAAAATCTCTCTCTCTTTCTTAGAACAGAAGAAATCTAACAAATATGTCTGATGATACTAGAATTCCTTTAAAAAAGACAACGGCTTTGCTCCTGAACACCCTGGCACTATTGCTTTAGTTAGAGAAGAGGCTGCTCCTTCCCTTCTGCAGACAAATCAACCTCACATGCTCACAAACATCCACACTACCCTGGAAGCAGAAAGCACAGCAAGGCACAGCTGCAAGGCCACCAGGATGGCCGTGGGGACCCCGGCACAACCCCTTCCCTATGCCCCTGCTGTCCTCTTCCGCCTTTTTGGTTTGTCTGCTTGTTTGGCACATTCAGGATGAAAATTCCCATGGGAACAAAGGCCTCAGGCTCCAGTCTGTGAAATGCCCGTGGTGGTTTTAAGGCAGGGGTGTATCTTTTGGCTGATCTCTTCCAAGACCATGATTGTCAGAAGAACAGGGAAATGAAGCTGGTGCATCATGACACACGGTCCAGGTCACGGGACCAGAGCAACCACGTACATCTGCCCCGTGGCCACGAAAGCTGGCCACATGAGGGCTGTTGACAGGGCATTTCCCCCTCACTTGAAACAAACCACATTCCTTTAATGAATGGATTTATGAGTAGGACAAAAACCCCACACGCCGGCTCTGGCGAGAGTCACCCACAGATTCCTATGGGCACAGGAACAGGCAGTGAAAGCCCAGATGAGGGAGGTGCTTTCTGCTTTAGCAGCAGGACCCCCTCAAGTCTGCGCTGTAAGGCTTGGACGTGATGTCTGTGTTAGCAGGTTGTGGGGTACCTCCCAAAAAGGCTTCCCCAGGGGGTGCCCAGCCATGCTGGGGGACCCTTCTGGAAATGTCAGACCCACTCACTGCTCTTAGTCACCACTGTGGTGGTGCCTTGGGCTTGGCCAAAGGCTCCATCAGGAAAGTGGAGCTGGGCCACACTCTTCGCATATACACGGCCATTAAAATAACAGTTATGAAAACAGAGAGAGAGCAGCGAGGCTGCGGGTTTCACCACGGGCAGCACCACTGAAGGCACCGGCTCCAGCGCTGCCTCCATCCGTGGTGGTTCC